ATCTCCTCACATTTTGAAACCGGATTCCGGAGGCAACAAGGTCTTTTATTACTTTACTTGTTACTGTTATTTCGGAACAATATCGTGCCTTAACTAATTTATACGTAACGCTGCTAAGATATACATTATTATAACTCCTAATTTTTCACAACCGTTGAAACTCTACCAACCACACGAGGTAATATTGAGTAAAAAAACCTATATAAATACTTATAAAAAAAATGACGAACACCAGAATATCATTGCATCGACACAAAAGTTTACAACAAGCAAGCAACGAAGGCCGAGGGCATGCATGCTGCTGTGTTATTTTGGTGCTTTCATTCAATGCGGCGTCCTCGTATCACTTCGTGTTACGCGTCATCGCATTGATTTCACTCAATCGATGCATTAGTGTATGTAACACGCAGTCTATAAGTGTATCCAAGTGTACAGTTTAACAAACTAATCAACAGACTAATAAAACACTGGCTGCACTCAATCAGGTGTTAGAAAGTCGTTTGCACGAAACGCATGCGATGACTCATTTTACGACGCCGCAGTACACGGTCAATGACCTACTTCTTTGTCGACGACTAACAACAACAATTATGTGAGAATTCCACAGATACAACCGTTCTGTACAATGATAAATTTGAGTAACGACCTATTTCATGTATTGTGTGCAGTATTTAAGCAGACACCTATCCGAAATCGGAACAGTTCAATTACTTTCACAATGCGTACCAATCGAATACGTGTTTTAAAGTAGGTCATACTTACCTATCTACGTACAGTACATCTGCTCATGTGCCACGTAATGCACACAACACAGTACAAATAGAAAAATGACCTTTCCAATGACATTTAACTCATCTCGTTTGTTCTTCAAATTAATATTTAATTACCGACATATTTTTTAATATAACATGGTTTTAAAACTTCATGTTATGTATGTATGTTCATTTCCAAAATTATTTAGTCAAAGAACTTACACAATATTTGATCAGTATATAGGCTTACCGGTTTAAGGTAAAACCACTTACCCAAGTAGATAAACCTAAGTGATTGTGACAAATATACGTTACACGATTCATGTGTGCAATGCGTGTTAAACTGTTTCCAGTAAAACTTGAAATAAATAATAATAACACTTTAAATAAATGCTCTAAGCTTAGAAGATATGAAAGAACTCGTTAAGTTATCTGAGGGTGCTCTAGATTTAGATATTTAGACACAATGTATGAACATTCTTTCCTTATTCATTCCTATAAATAATCAGAATTTTAAATTAGACAATAAAAACACTTACTATACTTCTGTAGTGCATAATAATAAACATTTCATTCGAAAATACCATTATCATGAGGAAAATAGTTACAAGTGCTTTAGGTACTTAATGGTTTTGAAATCACACATATTAATAAACTTTGTACGTGTAAGTAGTTAACATTACATGATTTAGTAGCACAAAATACACACTACGTAGATCTTTACTTTAAAGGAATTTAAAGTAAAGATCTACGTAGTAAATAAATAGGTTAATATTTGGATTCGCTTGTTTGATAGATATCCGGTTTTGCGTATAAGTAGGCCTTAAGCTAACATGATAAATACCAATAGGTACTTGGAAAAACTAAATCAATTACTTAGTACATGTAATCACGAATTAAAGGGTAAAAATACACAAGTAAGGTAAATGATCTCTACTCATAAATAGAATCGAATAAAAAATATACAAAATATATAAAACTTGTAACTTTTATCCCCCAACCCCTTAAACTAGGGGATAGAAGTTTGTATGAGACTTCCGCAATTTTAACACTGGAGAGGTCTGAAAATTGATATAGGGTCTCTTTGTTATTACAAATAATAAAAAGCACCCCAATTATAAAAAGCAACTTACAAACAAATTAAATCACACCAAAAACATTTTCATGTTGCCAATACGAGCTCATATATGACTTGCTCTGTCAAAAAGTTATCAGATCTCATAAAAAAACCAAGTTTCTAATTCTACATGACCTAACTTCACAAATTCTACACCTTAGTCAAAATATATGACTGGGCCGTTACTCCAAGAACTATTGTATAACAGTGCCTTTAGTACGAATCATTATCGAATTCGAATAGTTGAATTCGATCTAGATATACGTCAAATGTGTACTGATTTTAAGTTCTAGTTACGTCCATTGTGGTGCTGCTATTCAAGTTTCCATACAAAATTTGACAATGACATTTCGGACTCGCAAACATTACGTATTCGATAGTGGTTCGTGCTAAGGGTACTGAAACCCTTACGCCTGTGTGAATGTAACGAAATGCCCAAGTCACAGTCGAGCTAGTACCTACACAATAATTGTCAATGAATTCTTTATCCTAAACGAATCCTAATCTAATACATTTGATCACCACAATTGAATTAGGAATTGAAATCCACATCTGATACAGAGATCTGCATGCTAGCCACTCTGATCTATCTCTATCAGTCGGTCAGTGATAAATGCTAGATACGAAAAGTAAATAGAAATCCATTCATTCTATACTTTACCTTCAATTGAAATTCAATTACAAGGCAATAGATTACGATTGCAAATCGCTGCTAACATCTTCGCGGCTGCTGTCTAACGCAATTAAGTGGTCTACTTGCACTGTGGACTGCAAATAGTCCGGTCAACATAACTACTTCCATGTTTGCAGTAAAAAGCCGAATGAGTATGTAGTAGCGTGATTGCACTTCTAAATGACTATGCAGCTCAAAGGCAACTAAGCTTTAAGAATTTGTTGAGAAATATGGTGTTTAATTGAGCAAAAAGAGTCACGGGAAAAAGTGACAAATTGTGAAGCTACCACCACTCCTTCAGTGACTACGACCCACTCTACCAAGCGTATGAAGAAAAACAAGAATAAATATTACTTGTAAATCTAACCAAAACCCGAATGGGCATATAAAATTTTCTGCCTGCAAAACTAGACTGTCTAAAAATGGGAGGTCAGAAATCTCATCCTTTTTCCACCATAACTTCTTAGTGTGTGAACAGTTTTAAGTATATTTTTAATCTAAATTGTTAAAACTCTTACAGCATTCCAAATAAAATTGGGTATAATATTTTCAAATCTCTTAACAGCCTCTAAATTTGAAAGCGTTCCGTTCGAGTGCAATGTCTTTCTTTTAACTTTTTGTTTACTTTTTAGCTAACTGAATTTTACTTTTCAGAAATGACATGCTTTTTCAAGAATTTCATATGCTTCAGGAATTGTGGAAAGCGAATGGTGGGTTCGTATCTTGTTTGGTACCTAACTCATTGAATTTTCTATTAATTGAGCATTTAACACTATATTTTATGATATAAAAGCGCTCCATACTTTTATAGCTAAGCATTATGTGAGTTTTACTTAAAAAGTATTTGAATTTCTTCTTAATTCCGTAAAACTCCTAGTAAAAAAGCTTTATCACGATAATTGTTGTGTTTTCATTTTATTTTAATGTATTTGCTGTAAAAAAAGAGAAACATACAAAGATAATAATAACTTCAGAGTCTCGTGATGAAATAGTTTTGTTCCTTTATATTTTACTTTTAATAGTTAAAATATAATGAAGTTGATAGTTACTATTATAGTTTAATGTCATAAGAAAATGGTAATGAGATAAGCGTACTTTTTATTTCAAGTGACCTAAATTCGCGCGTCGGGAATCAAGATCTTGCACTCAGATGAAAAAGTTAAACCAAGAAAAGTCTATTATTTTCTTTCATTTCATATTTTGTTGTCATTTGGTGACTCCGGAACCCTTATGAAAATTAAATAAACTAGAAAATTATAAAAATACAATAAACGTAACTTTATAAACTTTATAGATTTTTGTTCGACTTAAGTTTATTGTACATGTTTCCTACTAATATTATAAATGTGAAAGTTTGTAAGTTAGTATGATACTCAATCACGCAAAAACTACTGAACGGATTTGGATAAATTTTGGTACGCTTTTAGTACCTGGATTAAAACATGCTTTTAATATTTTTTATCCCGGAAAATGTTGGTTTCCTGTGCGAAGCTTTAAAAAAAATCGCGAAACGAATTCGGGGGCAGCCTCTAATGGTTCATAATTGTAAAATGGTACGGAACCTTTTGTAGGCGAATCCGAATGGTACTTAGCTGGTTTACTTTGTGCAAAATAATTTTATTTGAATCTTTTAGTTTTCATTTTTATTTTTAACCTTGTAACTGCTCGATATATAAATCTAATAAAATATTACTAGGAAAAATTCCACGCGGACCAGGCAGCAGACGGGACTCGATCCCGCACCTATTCGGGGGAATGCACTGACCATTATGTTACCACGGCCCTGTTGGCCGTGTCGAATTATTTCTAGCCTTTCTTAAGCTGCAAGGCAACTGCCTTGGGGTTTGAGTCCCGTCTGCTACCTGGTCCGCTTGGATTTTTTTCTAGTAATATTTTCTTTAGATCAGAGGTATTTCTAATTTGAACCTTTTAATTTTATTTCATGAATCAACTTATTTCAGCTTATGCATTACGTACCTACACTTCATAAATAGCACTTGTATTTACAATTAATACATTATACATTGGCATAGTCATTAACGTTTTTATGATGAATCAATATAGATACACAAACACAGACAAAATAGGTAATTGATAAAAAATATGTATGGCATTTTTTCAAATTACGACGTAGAGTCCGGTGATAGAGTTTTAATGCTGTGGATACTTAAAGCTTTTATATGAGTAGCAACAATTAGATTCTTGCGTTTTCATTTTATTATTGACACAGACATTCATCCACAACAAGACATTCTTTTCAATTACCACCTACCTGTTTATGTCATAAATTAACATGACATTAATTTACTACTGTAGAGCTTTTGTTTTTGCTGAAAAATATTATGTTACTCTAATCTGGAACCTCAATTTTATGCTATGAACACTTTTTGAAAACGGTATTACCTAAGTGGTAACACACAGGAAGAGATTTTTTTTACAAATACATATATGGTCTTACCTCAGTCTTCGTTATTCGATGTCGTGCTAACTTAACAACGGCAAAATTTCCCTTGCCAATGGTCCTTTCAATGTCATAAAAGCCCACCCTGATGGGGGTTTTCGCAGGACGTTCCCGATCCGCCATTGTAGAGCTTTTATTCAGCTGATTCTAAAGTAAACTACACTCAGGAACATTTCACTGAATAAAAATAATTCTATTAAGTTTACGTCACAATCCGCCAATAATACTTGTGTATATCCATTTGCGATAGTTACTGCCGATGCTGATTTAATAACACCAACCGTTTCATATACCACAACAAAATGTTCTTCAATTAATTTTACTCGCACTCCTCAATCGTAACAAACTGAAACATCCCGTGTTATTCATTAAGTAAAGATTTTATCAAAGGTATTTCATTTGATCCATGTCGATCTTAAATATTTTTACATTTTATTATAATAAGTTAGTCCACGCACTTTCTTATGATAAGTCGAATATTTATCAGAAACGAACGGCCGTTTGTATACAAAAAATATTTATAAAATGTAGAAAATCGCGCAGAGGCGGCGCGCGTGTATGAACGTAGGTACACGCGAACAACAGTGAGTCACACCGCCGCCTCGCCGGCTGTTAACCGGGTACTGAACTCGTCACTCGGCTGAGTTCGAGTCGATCCGTTCGAGTCGAACCTGGCCTACGTCTTGAAGCAAGCCCAGTCCCACGGACACGCGCGCTATCTGTCACTATCTCGGCCGCCATGTTACTTTTTTCCGTGACGTAAAAGGTTAGCATTCGCGTAAACATTTCCCAAGCATTTCCCGTAAAAATATCAGGAAAAGCCGCACAGAGATACTGCCTTTGTGGGGCCTCATCAAGCTTTGCAAGTGACTGGTAGTTGTAATGAGATTTATTTTACCATAAATGATTCGATTTATCTGAAAATTTAGATAATCTCTACCTCCATAATCGAGAAGTACATATTTTTCCAGGTATAGATAGTCGATCATCCCTCTGTTCTTCCAACCACCATACACAAAACTACAGATAAATAACATTTTGCTATTGTATGTTCCTGTAGTTAATGAGATTACCAGCCCCCCCTAGCATGAGCACCGCGATATTTTTATCACGCGTTTTTATCACGCCCAATTGTCAAATTACTATGAAGTTAAATAGTTACACGCGCTAAAAAACGTGATAATATAATGTAAATTGTGGTGCTCATGCTACGGGAGCAGGTACCTATGGGTAGGGCATATGATTCAGGCTGGCAGCTGATGCGCCACGTATCTCTGTATCAAATGTCTTCACAACTGCATGAACTCTACATACACACAAAGTCGTGTAGTAAAGAAGCATTTTCAAGAAGTTACTTAACTTTTTTTTCAGATAATAACCACTTGTATTTAATGGGTATTTTCGCCGTTATCATATTACTCACCATTGGTTTTTTGAACTTATATTCATTCCAGCCCGAAGCAAAAAGTTGATATCTGCAGATTAAATCGATGCTCAACAAAAGCCTGTCTTGAAAAGTTGTTTGAATGGTAAATAAACTTCTGAGCATGATTATTTGGTAATTAAAGGAATTGCTTTTCTCAATAACAAAGATCAAGTGGACCGAATGCGTGATGCAAAATCAGTTCCTAATTTTGAGTTTTGACCGCCCGCCCCATGCTAACTATGAATATGCGCTCTCCTGCCTGTCCTCTCCTACCTATTCATTCACTATTAAAATACAGCAAAAGCTTACGTTACTTAACAGCATCAAATCAAACTGTTTGCTTTTACCCTGGATGAAAAACATATTTTTAAATAAGTATGGGAAAAGATAATTTGTCTAATGCTAAGCAACTTTTGTTCTTAAACAATTTTAATGATACTTTTCGACTTATTCGGTAGAGTAAACGTAATTTTTTCAATAAAAAACTCATGTGTTCAGATAATTTCTCATGAATAACTCTTTTATGAAAAAAAAAACATTTAGATTAGAAATGTAGTTCATAACAAAACAAAAAAAACTGGGTTTAAATTTAACTAAAAATATAAATAATAACGGAGTGATAGTTTGTTTTGTGAGGATGAACTTCACCAAACGCCAAAACAGAAAGTTTTACGTGATCTATCCAAAAAATAATGCATTTTCCGGGAACAGTCGACACGTTGACAACTTTGAAGTAGAGGGTAAGTAGAATCCAAATCCAAATTTGGATGCAAAGTTGAGCTGTTTGGCAGAATTGCCAGATTTTCCTTGCATTGACTGGACTACAGGTAGTTAAATAAAAGGGAAAGGAACCAAATAATTCCAACACTTATTATTACAATCTATTTATTTAGTCCTAATAATAAAATAAAAAACATGATGTGGTGTCGTGGGACACCAGGTAGGAACGAAGTTCCTTCGGCTAATGTAGAATCGACACAAATTGCAAACTCGCTTGTGTATGCGACTGTCGCGCCTGCGCACGTCTCATTTAACGGTTTTATTCCACGCACTTTTTTCCACGGATTTTTTCTTACGGTTTTACTATCACATTTTCACATTTTTTTCAGTTCGGTCGCGCAGCAAAATCCCTATCCCCTCCAAGCCTGCCGTAAGGAACTTCGTCGCGCCTGCGCACGTCTCATTTAACGGTTTTATTCCACGCCCTTTTTTCCACGGATTTTTTCTTACGGTTTTACTATCACATTTTCACATTTTTTTCAGTTCGGTCAGCTAGTGTTCGTAAAGATTGCTAGGCAGGACTGGCCCACAGATTATAATAAACTACAATGTCACAATAATCCAGTAATGCAGCCCGTCGCTCTGCCACCCCCTTTTTTTTTTTTTTTATAACGCAGGTAAAAAATCTTTTTACAGACGACGGCGCCTTTAAGAGGCACACCGCCGAACGGACCTCACACCTGGCTCCCGCAGGTCTTACGGACCCCCCCCAGTGGCTACCCACCGAGGGCCCCGCAACTCTTACGGGCGCTTTACGGTATAATATCCGCTAAAAAAGTCCTGCGAATACCTCTACACTGCTTAGCGCGAAGCCGCGGGATCCCCGTTTAGGGATTCTTCCGCGGCTCCGCACCCAGCAGCCTCCCGGCCCAGCCGGGGCTCCACAGCAGGGGTCTCCCACGGTATTTCGGGGACCCCGCAGACGTGCGCAGGTAGGCCCGCGCGTGGGGGCTGGGTACGCGGCCTACTGCCCACCATACCGCCCCCCATCCGCTGCGGATGGCTCCACGGGAGTACCCGTACAGCTCTCCGCCACCCCCCTTTGCAGGTCAGAACTGCAAGAAGGGGGGCCGCCGTTCCTGGGGGAGTGGGAGGGGGAGCGATCTCCCCATCCTTTACTCCACTCCCGCTCTGCCACCCCCTGGACTTAAGCACAGTTTAGTTTAATATACGACAATAATCCAGTGTTGGTATAATGCCACAATAATTTGGGGTTGCACCCCCGTCGCTCTGTCACCCCCTGTTAAGTACTGACCTTGTTATCATGTCTAGCTTAAGTTTACAGCAGATGATAGGCGTTCCTGGTCCACACCTCGGTATAACGTCACAAATATCCAGATTTCGTGTAATGTCACAATATTCCAGTGCTGCACCCTCGTAGCTGTGCCACCCCCTACATACGCACCTTATTATCATGTCCCGCTAGCGTTCGTAAAGGATGCTAGGCAGGACTGGCCCACAGTTTAGAATAAACTACAACAGCTATACTCTAAGTGTGTTCCGCGGAACCCTAGGGTTCCGTGATACCTCTGTCGGGGTTCCGCAAGAATTTAGAAATAAAAAAATCAAAACACCTCTCTCTGGTCGCTCCGCGGCTGTGCGGACTCCGCGGCCGCGCGGAGACAAAACGCTATGAATGTTATTTATTTATTTATTTGTATTTGTATAAGCTTGTGTTACATTAGCTGGTACAATATCTCATAAGTTTGGTCTCAACAATTTTATACTTGTACAACGCGTTCGCTCTAAGTTTGCCGGTCTGTGGAATGCGCGTACCCTCCCCCACGTGACAACAAAACTTATAATGTGTCATAGTTTTACCCAAATATCTAACGTACACAATTTTTATTGTTACAATTAAATAAAAAATTTCGAACGTCATACACTCATACCTATCGCCAGCGGCAAACTTAAAACGAGCGGGTAGTATACTTGTAAGCGCTCAGTCTCTTTGATAAAAGCCGCCTCTGAATTAGACGCTATAGTTGTCAACTAGCGACTTTCGTCTCTAACTTCAAAGGATAAAGTCGATATTGTTTACAACGCTATTTTTAAATTTCTGTTTTTATTTTTGCTTTTTGTTTATCAAAGGTGCCGACTCGAGTATTTTCGAGAATATTTGAGATCGAGTCTAGGACTAAGTATAAAAGCGGCGATCGCGCGTTGGCGTCGTCAGTTGATGATTAGCGTTCGGAGCGATAAGTTACTACCTACTTACAAGCTCGCTAGCGAGAAACTGGTGTTCATTGTTTTACTGCCTGCTGTATTCTGTTGTCTCAGTTTTATACATTTCTTCCCTGTAGGTTCTAAATTTAGTCTCTTATACGCAGTAACGATTGTGCATTATTTAAACCCCACTATCCTGACTTGTAACATTATAAATAAAGAAGAATGGAACGTTGGCTTAAAGGTGTTAAACGTGTTCCAACAACATCTTCTAATGACGCTGAATGTTCAAAAGCAATGCGCGCGGAGAATTTAGCAATCACCGATCCAGAAGATGATGCCACGAGTGCCACGACGTCAAGCTCGACGGTTTCAAAGACGAAAAAAAGGAAGTATGATGAATCTTATATCAGTTTCGGATTTGTTGATTCCAACGGCTCACCTCTCTGCATGCTCTGTAGTAAACTGCTTCCTAATAGTTCCATGGCACCTGCCAAATTGCGTCGACATTTAGAAACCGTACACCCCGAGACTAAAGACAAGAATAAAGAATTTTTTGTTCGCAAAAAAGATCAGTTATTAGAAAGTCAAAAAAATATGATGCATGTAACACAAACTACCAACGAAAAGGCCACGGAGGCATCATACTTAGTTAGCTATCGCATTGCACAAGCAGGTGAAGCGCACACTATCGCTGAGAAATTAATAAAACCATGTGTATTAGACATAACAAAATGTATGCTTGATGAAA